CTGTTTTCCCTTATCACCTCACTCTCACCACTCGACGTGGAGAGAAGCAGCAGCGGAACAACCGCACCATCAGGCAACCATTAGAAATGAAGTTGGGCGTAGTGGTCGCCAGGTGGGCGGGGTGGCCGACTCTTCACGAGCGGGCGCCGCTATTCTCTCGCATTTTTGAGTTGCGAAACTAGTACGTCCACATCCTCATAGGGTGAGCTACGATATGCAAAGAGGGCGTGGAAACAATAAATGAACGCGGGCGCTGCCTTTAAGACCGCTTCGTAGGGTTTTAGCAGTTCTTTTTAATTCTTCCTCTTGGAGGGTCTGAGTGAGTGAAAAGGATTTTTCTTGGGGTCGGAGCTTCATCTGTTCTCCGCTCTTTCGGTGCTCTACTGAGTCCAAACTCTATTGAGTGTTCCTCGTGCGCTGTAATGAAGCCGTAATCGGTAGCTATCCAGTGAGAAGGTGTACGGCATCCCATCGGCTTGTGAAAATTTTCCCCAACTACAATCGTTTTTCTTTCTGAAACCCCTCCCTAGAAATATTAACATATTTACACATACCCCATGCACCCATACAACAAACACATCCATTTCAATGTACACGCATACATGTACGCGTACATAGAAATGTGTCCTCTCAAAGATTCCAAAGACACGGTTTTCAGCAAGGCATGATACACCTTACATGGCACCGCGGGTCGACTCTCTTGAGTCAACGCGCACGATGCCGCTCTTGTAAATTCACACTTAACCCCTCCTTATCACTCTAGTTTATGCTCACCGTTGATGCTGTCTTCACAGTCGTCAGTGTTTTAGAGAATCGTTCAAGGGAGGAACTGGTGAGCGCTTCTCGATGACTCGTCCGAAGGATTAAATTCCTTTGAATTCTGAAGGAAGCACAGTGAACAGGTAAGGGCTGGTCTATTTGAGTTGGCTATGCACTTTGCACAAATTAATCAGGCAAAGTTTGTTCCGAGTGATCGAAGCGAGGCCATGCAAAGCCAAAGGCTCTATACTGCCGATTAGCACCATTTTTGAAAAGTGGGCGAGGCTTCTTCAGAGTGGGCGGAGCCTCTCACAGTGGGCGGGACGTCCTGGAGCAGTCCAAAAAAGCAAAAATTTTCGAAAAAATATATTTCCGCAAACTCGCAAGTGGGCGTGGCCAAGGGGGCGGGTGCATGAATGCGCGTCTACGAGTAACTTCGTTGTGCGAAGAGTGCATGTGAAATTAAAAATTGAAAAAGTTATGAAGATTTGAAGTTCGCAACAAACTTTAAAGAATGGGCGGAGTCAGTCATGTGTTGAAGATCTATGTCCGCGCTGACAAGTAGGCATGACCGTCGGTTCAGGGTTCGCGGTGGTGTCTGGCGTGATCTTGTTGGTGTACTGCCTGGTCTAAGAAGAGTGGTGAATTTGGTTTGAAAAGTGGTGAATTTGCTTTGAAATGTGGCGAATTTGAAGTGAAAATGGTATATATATCTCAAATCTCTTTCTAAAGGTGTGAAGTTTCAGAGACTACTGCGGATGGTGGGCGCGACAACGATGCCATTACCCGTGCCACCACCACCGCCTCCACCAGTGGGTGGTTTCCCAGCACCTCCTCACCCACCTCCACAGCCGACCTGTCTTTATATTATCGCTCCAAGCTCCTTCCGGTACCTCTCCACCTCCTCCATCCCAATGAGTGCGATTTCCCTCCTCTGCTTCCGATCTATTCTCGCTGTTGCATCCTCATTATGTGTGGGTTTATAACGTTTTTTTTGTGAATTGCTTTGTTTGTTCGAAAAGCTCTGTTGGGAATGCTTGTTATTCGTAATTATTTTTTTAGTGTTCTAGAAGTTGATGTTGAAACTACCTTTTTTAAACATGTGATTCGAAACTAGTTGGTCGGTCGAACATGTCCAATGTTCTCCATGGTAGAAGGCGAATCGATGATTCCATACCCATAAGTGATCTTGCCCTCCGGTTGTGGTATAACCCATAACCTCCATTTTTTGTTCTCGTCCATGGGTCCTTACTACTTAGTATCCTGTTAACATTGCGACCCGAAATAATGCCCTCCAGGGTGATTGGCTCATTTGCCGTGTCTCATGGGAATACTTATCCATGGTCCGCACAATCGCTGTTTTACAGGTCGGGTACCTTCTGTGCTCGAGCAGTCTGCACCGCTTTGACCACTAGCGGTAGAGCAGTCCAGCAACCTAGTAGAGCAACGGTCCAAAACCACGGGCGACCGACAAGGTTCTGAAGGCATCTCAACATTGTTTCTGTCAGACTTGAGAGATCATACACGACCATAGCAGTTTTTCTTGTTATATGCTCGTCATGTATTGTTTGTTGCTTTTAGATTTTTTTCCATTAATAAAGTAGTTGCGGTGATTTCACTTTTTTTGCCATCGGAGGACAGTTCGAAGAAGTTTCTAAGAAAACCTGGAGTGGTCATGCTGTATCGAATATCTGCTTATATAGGATCAAAGCTAAGGGACATCACGGCTTTCTGCCGGGGATAGGGATTTCAGTGCCAACAAACCCTTGTAGATACCTTATTCGATTGGAACATGGCGCTTTCTCAGGGCAAATCAGTCGATGGGATTTATACTGACTTATCTGAAGCCTTCGATTAATGGTTGACTCCACTACAGACTGCCTCGCAAATTGAACTGTCGCATGTGAATTCTTCGCACCTTCTATTGTCGGACAGGGTACAGCAAGGGGATGTGCGAAATGGCGTGTGAGTACGACCCCTCCCCCCCCCCTCCTGCTCTAACTGAAAACCAGATGCATGTTCACCACAAATGGCTTCCTGAAATGGAATCTGGATTTTCGAAAGGCGGACTCTGCTCTTAAATCCAGGCAATAAGAGGCTGTTTAGCGTCATGAATCTGTATGAGCCTGAAACAGGCCTCGTCATAGTGACCTACACATTTTGTAACTTAGGATCCAAAATAAAACTCCTCGTTCGATAACCATGTATGACATGCAACTTGTAAGGAGAAACACAATCGAAAGAGCGACTAATGTTGATCATCGATGAGCTGAACTGGTGAAAAAATTAGCCCCAAGGTCAGCGTGTCAGGCCTCAGATGTGCATTCAATGAATGGTGACGGGGAAATCATAAAAACATGAACGACACAACAAAGCGAAACATGAAAAATAAAAAAAAATGCGGAGCCAAATGAGAAAAAGGATAACCAGGCGGCAGTTAATCGTTCTATATCTTGCTATTCTCTGTTCGGCAGGTCGCACCTGTTCGCGTGCAAAAACATCATTTGGAGCGCGGTAACTCGAAAGTCAGCGTCCTGGGGTCTTTTCAGGAGCTTATATCTCTTTTAGGTGCGGAGCTTTTGAGGAATGGTGAGCAGCATGCAACGGCAAAGTTTCTACTGTTGTGTATTCTACCTAGTTGCAAACTGAACAATCCCCCGTTGGTGAAATATTCCGGATGGGTTTTGGATAGGCTAGGGGTAAATGGCAAGCGGATATTTTTGGCTTCACAACGGGGTCTACTTATTTCGAACAGTGGTGCTGCAATTTTCTATCAGGATTGGAAATTGGTCTTGGACGCCCTATCTTTCTCTTTCCAATAAACTTTAACAGGTTTCTGAAGACCCACTTAGGTCGGAGTTATTTTAGATGGGTCACTAGACGCGTCACCTCATGACATCTCGAAAAATCGACTCCTTCTGTGCCATTGTGAGGATACACCTTCGAAAACTCCAAAACACATATTTCCCTTCAAATGAGTGAAAGAGGAGCTCGGCTATCACTGATCGATTTGGTCCGAGCGTGCGCCGTGCATTACTCTCCTACGCAGAGGTGATGGAGGTATAAATTCTGATTTCAGTTGCTTTTATCTATGCAAGCAGATGTTTGTTTAGGGTTTGGAAAGGACAATACGCACGATTCTGTTGAGAAGCTATTATTCCAGCATTATCGTACTTTACGAGCTCACATGCTGTTGAAGTGATTTCTATTTATTTATTTTATTTATTTATTTATTTATTTATTTATTTATATTCTTGGATATTCTGCTATATTGCTAGTAACTTTTTTACTAATTTGTAGTCCTACTTATATCCGGGTCTTCTGCAGCTTTCAGTTCCTTCCATCAAACTTAGCAATGACACCTTTGCACCTTTGCTCGCTTGCGAGCCTACTTTTGCGATACTCCCATGTCCCCCGCGGCCAAGTACGAACCCGTTAAGTAGTTTTGGGGATTTTGCATGAAAAGAGGGCTGTTAAACGTAGCAGTTCAATCTGTAAAGAATACACTCATAATAATTTTCATTTTTTTAACATCTTAACTTCCATAGCTCCACTCCCACTATCAACTGAAATGTCGAAGCATTGCCGGCTCTGAGTGACCCTTGAGATTACGACCCCCCCCTCCCCAGCGGCCAAGTACGACCCCCTACGGGTTTCGCACAAATGCTGTACCCTGGCAGCAAATACTGCTGCATATGGCTGTCTAACAACCCTAGAGTTACGGGAATCTTCGGTGCAGTTTAGGCACAGATCAAATGAATTCAAATTTTTGTGCTTTGATGTTTTTCAGAACATTCCTTGTGAGAGCACTCTCTTTTACCATCTTATCTTTCCCCCTATGGGTGGATGTTTGCGTGTGTGGGGAGAGGGGCAGCTATGTACGTGACTGCTTGAACTTTCTGCTAAAGTAGCGCTGCAAAAGGCCAAAGTGCAGAAAGAAAAGGAAAATGATTACTTCAATATCGAAAAGAGACCGTTAGAACGGCCTGCTGAAAATGATCTTCATTACGTTTCCAACACCTGTGACAGCTGCTCCCGAAAAACGAATTTCCTGAATAAAGCCCTCCTCTAACTTAGATCGAACCTCACTATAGGATAAACTTAGATAAGGTTCAAATAAAGCACCGCGTTCATACTTTGTTTGCGCGCGGGACACTAGTAAACTAGGAGATCAGGAGAATTGACAGATTGGAAAACACGCGCAAGGGCAAGTATGAGGTTGCTCCTGTGAGTTGAGAAAAAACGGCGCTAGGAGAACGCCTCACCCTGCTGATATACCATCCTGAACTTAGCGAGTCTCCAGGAAACTGTAAGCGCTTATTCGAAAGCGAAAAATACAGCATGGTTTTCCAAGACGATTTACCTGATGAAAATTGCGTTCTAAAATAGCCAATCCTCGTGTGACAGGCCTAAAAATCCCGCTTGCCATTTCACTCCAGCCGATGCGAACCCATCCGAAATATTTCACGAACGGGGAAACATTCAGAGTTGCAACTGGGTAGAAAACGCAACAGTAGGAACATTCCCGTTGCATGCTGCTAACCATTTATCAAAAGCCGCACCCCTCCGCCCCCAACAGAGATATTACCACTCCCACGAGAAACCCAGGAACGTTGAACAGCCCAAAAACCGTGCTCGCAATACGTTTTTCCAATGAAAGCGGTTGCAACCCCCTGCGATCGATTATATGGCAGAGTACGCACATATTGCCTGCCGCCTGATTATACCATTTCTTTTCAATTTGTTCCGCATTTTTTATGTTTTTGCTTCGCTTTGTTGTGTCGGTGCATGTTTTCATGATTCCCCCGTCACCATTCATAGAATGCACATCTGAGGCCTGACACGCTGACCTTGAGGCTTTTTTTCACCAATTTAGCTTATCAATGATCACCATTAGTCGCTGTTCCGATTGTGTTCCTTGTTGCAAGCTGCATGTCATACATAGTTGTCGAACGACGAGTTTTATTTTGATCGAAGAAAAAAAGTTGGCAATGGGAGGCCTGTTGTTCAGCCTCATATATTGCATGAGGCTGGAACAGCCTATTATTGCCTGGATTTTAGAGCAGAGTCCGCCTTTCGAAAATCCAGATTCCATTTCAGGAAGCCATTTGTGGTGAACATGCATCTGGTTGTCAGTTAGAGCAGGAGGGGAGGGATCGTAACTGGGCCCTCTTCGAGGGGGGAGCAGGGCACGCCATTGCGTTGTGATCATTTCCTGAAAAAATAGGGGCGACCCCCCAATATTTTCTAAGTCCCACCCCCCCTGCTCCCCACCCATCTTACCCTTCCCTAAATTTTTCCCCCACTCCTACACCCTTGTTTACTTTTTCCCAAAATTTCGGTTTTTTATTAAGCAAAATTTTGCTGTCGGCGGGGGGGGGGGGGGGGGGGGAGGTCGCAGTACCTACGTACGTCCCAAGCACGTCCAGCACTCTGGCGCTGGTGTAGCATACTGACAATACGTACGAGGAAGGGGCGATGATAGGAGCTACGATCACCGCCCACAAGGGCACCATGAATTTATACAACAAACAAAAGACTCAATGTGAGATTAATAACAGATGAAAAAAGTACATCCCGGACTTTTCTTATTGCAGGAGCATATTTGCTTGCAAATTGGGAAGCCCTATCTAGAAGTTACACCTTTCAAACACCTGCGTGAAAGCCCCATGCATGGCGCATTGCATATGTGATGCCAATTGGCGCCCAATGGCCTATTACCTGATATGCTTGACGAAAACATGTGTTTCAGAAGCATACCAAAGTCTTCGAGCCAACTGGAGGTTTCCTGGCCTCGGAGGGGTTGATTTTTCGGTGTCGTGGGGGGTGATTACAAAATGATCACAACGGGGAATTTTTTCGAATAGTAGGTCTAGGAAGGAAATTAAAACCTTGCTGGAAAGTAGAAATCTTCAAGCTTCCGGCACAGTTCTTTTTTTTACGAAAGGTCGTGTATGAAGCTTGCCATGGACGTCCAAAGCGTAGCGACTCGCGGTTCGCAAAAATGATCACAGACGGATCACAAAGATGATCACAACGGGGAAAATCTCTGGAACCGGAACGTTTTTGAAATCGCTCAATTCAGGTGATAAGAGCCAACCTAGCTCTACTCATTCCCACTTACCCCTCTCCTCGATAGCTTCACTTCAACGAAGTTATCGGGTGTCATAATGAGGGTACTCTCAGCGGTGTTTCGCTGAAATTGGCTGCAACCGTAAAATAGCGCGCACCAATGCGCTTGTATGAGCGCGCTGACCGCGAACAGCCAAAATTCAAAAGTAATCCATAGTTCCGGTTCCCAGCTGGCCTGGTGAGTTTTTTTCTTATCCATTTCATTCCTTTTTCTTTGCCTTGTGATGTTTTGACTGTTTGTTTTGTTCAGTTTTGGGAGTTTTGTTTGTTGAGTTTGGTTTTGTTGTGAGGAAATTGCGCTCAGGATTCATTTCTACGGTTTCATAGGTAGCTTTTGCAATGGATTCTTT